CTGCTGATTGTTTTTCATCCGTTTATCGTGGTTTTGTTGGGTTATTTACCATTTTTTTTTATGTTGGGATTGAAGCTGATTTAGTGAAGCATGCAATTATTGTTGCCTGCGCAAATATGGTAAGTTTATTTTTGGGAATTTTGTTGATTCGTTCTGGTGTGAGATTGGACTTTGATGGGAGTTAACTTTTTTTCCCCTTTTTGCGAGGGGAATAATGCTGTGAAACGTGCATACTTTGAGCAACTAACTTTTTTTAATTTAATGCAACTTCTAAAGCTTTATGTTAATTAATTACCTTTAGGCAATCAATCATTCAGTATGTTAAAGTTGCTTGAATTTGGTCAGTACAAGTTTCTGGAACCAACTTTTGTTTCCTGGTCCGGTTTAGGCTTCGTTTGCCGGTTTGAATTAAGCTGCTCTTTAACAGTCGGCTCTTCAAGAAACAAATACTTATACCGTGTATAGTTTAGTACACAGGCTGACACTTTCGAGGCGATCTAGTGAATTGATTTTTCGAATCCTTTTTCAAAGATCTCCTTAATTTTTGAGATAGTGAGTTGTGACTTACATACATAGCAACGATAGCATATGCATTTTCTTGTATTTATTTTCGCTGCACTGCCGGCAAGCAGGACTATAATTATCGTCTGTCTGGTTTTACTTGCTAAGGCGATTATTAGTTTTTCATAGTTTTTGAAGATTCTATTTTGATGTGAATTTCTCTTCTCTATCTCATTTACTTGCTCTAGTACTCTTTAATTGGAGGTTTTGCCTTTCTCGTTTACTTCGATGCAAGAATTTTTGTACAGTATTATATAATACAATGGCTGAAAATCAAACCAAATCACTCGATATTCAGTTTGTTTCGTTGGTGAAATGATTGTTTGAGCTAAGTTCATCAAAGTTTTCAAACAAATTTGACCATATGCTTATCGAATAATATCTAATATGTGTAAATGCATCAAACTACTTGGGCTAGATTCGTGTTTGATTCAGTAAAGCTCGATGATGTATGGAAAAGATCAAGCAAGCTCAAGCACCATTATGAAAGATCGATCTACTTGGGCTTGAGCTTCTTAATAAGATAGATCCTTCTCTAGAAACGATACCGAGTGCATTGCACTGTCTTAATTAGTTCACATCTTAATTAGATCCATTTGATTTATTGAACGTTCTCTCTCATCAACTGTGGTCTTTAGCGGTGGCCAATTATTTCTGTGTATTGGCCGAGTAATTTGTGAAGAGTGGTGTCGTGGAGCTTAATTAGGTATAGAGATGATTTCTGGAAATGGTTCTTGGGTTTATCGAAATGATAGAACCTCATCACATGCAAAATACATGCATTTATGTTCATGTACGCTCTCGCAGCTTTCTGGTTAAGGTTGTGTTCAGATTAAAGAATTTTACTTTCTGATTTGGCATGGAATTTATAGTTCAGTTTGTTTGATCAAGTCCCGTTTGGGGGTCCTTTAATTGGTTGTTTAAAAACATTACAACCAATAACATCTATCATATTTCTTTTTGCAGATAGATGAAAATGTGCAGAGGGAAATTATCAACCACAGGTCTTTAAGGCACCCTAATATAATTAAATTCAAAGAGGTTTGCCCCTGGTTTCCCCGAGATTTTACTTTAATTAGCTTAAAATTTTTACGTCCGTAATCTTCTCAAGTAATTTGCCTCAGGTAATTCTAACACCAACTCATCTGGCTATTGTAATGGAGTATGCATCTGGTGGAGAATTATTCGAGCGAATATGCAATGCAGGACGGTTTAGCGAGGATGAGGTCCTTAACTTTGTCTTCCATTCTTTTTTCTTCCTTTTTTGTTTTGGGATATTTTTTGTTGGCCTTATTTCTTACATATCTCTTCTGCATATTTTGGCTGCAGGCTCGTTTCTTTTTTCAACAGCTTATATCTGGAGTCAGCTACTGCCATTCAATGGTATCATTATGTTGTTTGAATTCTGTTTGTTTATTGCAGTAGGGTTCATAAATGTGTAAAAAATATAAATATAATCGGTCTTTCCTCATAATTTCTTGATGAAGCAAATATGCCATCGGGACTTGAAGCTGGAGAACACATTGTTGGATGGGAGCCCAGCTCCTCGTTTGAAAATATGCGATTTTGGGTATTCCAAGGTAATAACAAAATCGTTAGCTCTTTTCATGTTAAAAAACATTCTCGGGGCCTAATTATAGCTTATATATGTTACTTGTTTCCTTACATGCTCACCCACTTTGATCTTTTTCCTGCTTAAAACAGTCTGCTTTGCTCCATTCACAACCAAAGTCTACAGTGGGAACTCCTGCTTATATTGCTCCTGAGGTGTTGCTTAAGAAAGAATATGATGGCAAGGTAAATCAGTCGACAATCTTTTCTTTACAGAGTTGCACAGATTTATTTCCAAGATGTCATTTTGGAATGAACGTGGGTTCGTTTTGAGTTAATCACGTGTAATTATTTTTTCTTCTTCTTTCGTTCAGATTGCGGATGTGTGGTCTTGTGGTGTGACTCTATACGTTATGCTTGTTGGTGCTTATCCATTCGAAGATCCTGCTGAACCTAAGGACTTCCGGAAGACCATACACAGAATCTTAAGTGTTCAATACTCGATTCCAGACAATATTGATGTATCAGAAGAATGCTGGCATCTTATTTCGCGGATCTTTGTAGCAGACCCTGCACAAGTTAGTCATATTTTCTCTTTTCATCGAGCTTCTACTTCTTTTTCTTAATTCAGTTATTAACTCGTTTTGAATTATGATTGTCCAGCGCATCACAATGAACGAAATTCGGAACCACGTGTGGTTCCTTAAGAACCTCCCAGCAGACCTAATGGAGGAGAGCTCGAGCTGTACGAACAGTCAGTTTGAGGAGCCTGAGCAGCCGATGCAGAGCCTTGAGGCGATCATGCAGATAATCTCGGAGGCCACTATACCTCCAGTTGGCATCTCTAACATGGACATGATGGATGATGACATGGACATGGAGGATTTCGACTCTGACCCTGATGACCTCGATCTCGACAGCAGTGGTGAGGTTATTTATGCCATGTAAAAACACGAAAAAGGAACGGTTTGCAGTACGATTTTGAGGAATGAAGGGTTTGCGTGCCAAAGAGGAGGCAATTACGAGTGTTTTTTTTAGTAGGTACATGTGCTTGTTGTGCAACTTTGTCGAGTTTTTTTAAGCTTGTTATGCTTCTTTACTCGCATCTACTTTTTTATCTCGTTTTTGTGTCGGTGTTTACCGTATTTTCGCGCGTGTTTGTTGTGACTTGTAGACTTGTATCAGATATGTACTCTTTCGTTACTTGGTTTATTTATAATGGAACTTTTTATAGATCTTATGTTATTTATAATCGGCTTGTTCGAGCCTGGGGTCGACTCTAGGCGGCTTAAGTCGGATTTGAACCGTGCTACTTTTCGGGAGGCTTGGAAAAACGGAAAGAAGAGAAGCTCGAAGGCTGCCCCCAAAGCAGTTCCTTGAAGTACGCCTTCCATGTATATTCTATAATTAATATGATGGTGAAATGAATAATTATAACCTGAAACAAATCAAAGGAGTTGGGATTACAGTAAAACCTCGTTAATTAAATTAAAAGACGTTTGCCCCCGGTTTCCCTAGATTTTACTTTACTTGGCTTAAACTTTTACGTCAGTAATCTTCTCAAGTAATTTGCCTCAGGTAATTCTGACACCAACTCATCTGGCTATTGTAATGGAATATGCATCTGGTGGAAAATTATTCGATCGAATTGCATATATTGGCTGCAGGCTCGTTTCTTTTTTCAACAGCTTATATCTCGAGTCGGTTACTGTAACACTCCGTCTAAACTTACTAAAATCAGAGTAAATTTGTCGTGCTATAAATGAAAAACACTGATTTAATTTTCAAAATCTCTTATTAATTTTTCAAAAATACTTTAACTTTAATATGCTATTCAACTTTAATCTTAAATCTTTAATATCTTTAAACTACTAGACATGCAACCGAGTATAATTCATTACTTTAATAAGGCGCCATGAACATCTCAAGATTTAAGCATGCATAGACTAAAATTCTGGATACTGAAATATGGAGTGCAGAAGCAAATAAAGGATGCATCAACAAAGCATAATAATTCAGACATGTTCAAATATACATGACATATTTATTAAAAAATATCCTTGTTATGACCACCACTGCATCATCGGCTCACGCTCCACGCTCAACACCGTCACTTGAAAAATGGTTAGTGGGAGGCGTGAGCATAAATGAATCAACGATGCTCCGCCGGAACCGACACTGAAATATACAACTAAATAATAACATATCATGACATCGACATATATGCAAGTACTTACTGGATCAACAGAAATGATACGATGATGAACATTTTACTAACGGATCGCGGATTAAACTTTCATCCAATAAATACTTAAATCAGCAATCTATCTATAGCTGCTACTTAACTGACTGTCTATAATTGATGCGTAACTGACTGACTATGACTGCTGCTTGACTGACTGACTATATCTATTGTTCAACTGACTGTCTATAACTGTTCTTCAACTGACTGTCTGAAACTGTCGCTCGGATGACTATAACTGCAACATCGCGAACTAAAAATACATGTGATATGATAAGCACATCACAACCCAAGTATACATCTACTATGATAAAACACATCGCAACCTAAGCATACATCTAATATGATAGAACACATCACAAAGGCGTATAAATGAGTATACTGTCTATAATTGTTGTTCAACTGACTGTCTATAACTACTGCTCAACTGAATGCTTAACTGGCGAGATGGATACGTGTCCTTCACGCTTGCGATAAGCAACTGTAGAACCTAATATGTAGGTCATCGCCCATTCTAGGGCAAAACTAACTCTTATGCACTTCTATGGTTGAAGCTTAACTCACAACTGCACTGAGTCCTTGATACTAGCTGGGGTAACACTTGGTTGTGATGAAACCTATCTCTAGGTCAATGCCCCTTAGGGAAGAATTATTCTAACCTCATATGAAGTTTCAACTTAACTCAAAGTTGCACTAGAATTCTTATATCATCTTAACTAGCGTTCTACTCACTTAACTAGAAAGGACCTACTCGCTAGGTAATTGCCCCTATTCGGGCGGACTAACACTTACATACATACCTCAGTCAGGATATTGCGATTATAGAAAATGTAGTACCCAGTACATGGACCCACTTGATATGCTGAAGTGCAAGTGCTGAATGGTTTGTAACTGTCGGAGGCTCGACCCCACAAGCTAAAAAATATATAAGCACAAAATATATTCTAAGTACTAAGCTTAAACTTAAAAACTCGAATCTTATTATTTGATATGTCTAGGTTTGCTCGCATGACTTTAAAATTATTTTAGTGATTTACGAGCTGATTTTGAAAAATTATTGTCTTTGAGGCATACTAGAATCATCTGAATATTCCTAAGTCTGGACTATATTCTGGTTGGACTCAAATTTGACAGAAATTTATCTGAAATATATCTGGATATTAAATATGACTGAAATTTATCTGAAATATATCTGGATATTAATCTGATTGAAATTTACCTGACTAGTTCAGAAAAACTGGATTCACGGTTCACGCTCAAACCGATGTTCCGAACTTAACTCCCGAACCATCCAGACTTCACGGACTGATTCGGCTGATCTGAAATTATGTTCAAACCGTAGTATTTGAATGAAACAAATAAATTCATTCAAATAATATATAAATCAAAAAATATAAACGTGCATATAAATTGAATATATAAAAAATACATTATTAAATATGTAAAACGTACACATTTTTCGATCTATCATTACCTTAGTAAGAAAAATTAATTTATTTAAAGTACGACTATACAAAAGTTTAATAAAATTTTCTTTAAAATTAAAAAAAAAATCTTGAAACCTAAGTTTAAGAGCGTACAATTTTAATATTATATCAATTGATAAGCATTATCCAAAATAAAAATTGTGACAAAATCCCAATTAGATAACCTGCTCTTACAGACCTTGGCAATCCTCCTCCTCCCTATATATTATTCTAGAATGCGCTGAACTTACGTGATTGCTTCTGGTGCTTTGAAATCCTACTTTTTAAAGAATCATGCTTCGTAATTAGGTTTGGACAAATGATAATGATATATTAATAATTAATAATTTAGGTTTGGACATTTCATAAATATTATTTAGCTAACTTAGGTATTTTAATATCACTTGTACTAATATAACCCTTTATTTCTTTGTAATTTTACATAAGTGACTAATATATCCTTGATTTTTTATTTGTTTTCTTCAATTAGCTATTGAATTATAAATGTATTTTAACAGTCGATAACTTCTGTATTTCGTATCGGTTTTACATATATAATATATCAAATTAATCATCTTTTGATGATCTTCGATTTGACATCCATATTGTATATATGAAATAAATAAATTATATTTATATTTATAATAATAATAAATAATAATTTTTATTAAAATTCATTAGAAAAATAAAATTATTTCTCAATGGATATATTTATGCTTAATGTAGTTATATGTTGTAGGTTAAAAAAATTATTAATATAACACATGTAAGTTGCACAAATAAAAAGTGTCATATTAAATATATAATAATATATATATTTTTATAAAAGGTATTTAAATTTTCAACTATTTTTTCTCATTAATTTTAGATTTTAAGAAAAATTAACAAGCACCCGTGTAATACACGGGCGTTGTACTAGTTGAATATTGATTTACAAGCACGCGTGAACATGAGTCAAAAAAGTTATTGGGGTGAAATTGCTAATTTAGTTACTACAATTATATTATTCTCGATGCGCTGATCCTACGTGGCTGCTTCTGGTGCTTCGGAATCCTACTTGGCAAAGAATGCTTCGTAATTAGGTTTGGACAAATAATATTGATATAATAATAATTAATAATTTAAGTTTGGACATTTCATAAATATTATTTAGCTAACTTAGGTATTTTAATATCACTTGTACTAATATAACCCTTTATTTCTTTGTAATTTTACATACTGAGGCACTAAGTGACTAATATATCCCTGATTTTTTATTTGTTTTCTTCAATTAACTATTGAATTATAAATGTATTTTAAAAGTCGATAACTTCTGTATTTCGTATCGGTTTTACATATATAATATATCAAATTAATCATCTTTTGATGATCTTTGATTTGACATCCATATTGTATATGTTGATATTCGAGTTAGCCCAGAACGAACCGGGAAGGCTTAGCCCCTCAAGATCCGGGCTGAGGACTCGGTCTGGCACGTGAGTGCCGAACTGAACCAAAAAATGAAGTACTCAGGACCACCGTTGGAACGTTTCTCGAGACCGGCACCCAGCCCAGTACGTGTACGAGCCGACCTGAGTGAGTGCCGGGCTGAAAGTAGGTCCCCGGGTGTCTCATGAGCGCGTTCGAGAAAAGTGACGACCTGGAGACCCGGGGTGGCCACCCAGGAAAGGGTGGGACTCGGCGCACATTAAAATATTCCCACTTGGAAGGTCATCATTGGATGATGGGACAGGTTGTTATAGCCTAGCACCCTATAAGCAAGCCTAGTCAAGAAAGCCTGCCAGCATTAAATGCCCCCCATGCTCGCATTAAATGCCTGACAGGCAATGATTGAAGAAACCTCAAATCGCAATAAATGGACGTCAGGACGACGCCGAACTGCTCTGCAAAACCACTGTGCGACAAGACCGATGAACAATAGCTGAATGGTACCTCATTTAAGACCACTATAAATAGCAGCTCATTTCATTTATTTTGGGTTGTTGAATCCCAACTAACTCTGCCTTCTCTCTACTTTCTCTCTCTAAAACTGTAAGAAATACCCTGTAAAGTTTGTAAGTA